GCCATCATGCTTCAGAAGTTCTTGTACATATCTCGCCAGATGGCTGTGTTCTCGGCGCAGGCAGAATGCCCTACAAACCACATAGGAACAGGAGAGGTGATGCAGGGCCGACACAAACAGTATTGGCACTCGTCCATACCCCTCAATACAAGTAGTTTGCAGTTATAGAAGAACACATGTGTGATTGTCCTCGTCATTCATAGTCAGAGGGTCCGCCTGCCTCAAGCCACCCCAAAACACCCCAGCGAAACGCCAGTTCCAGACAAACTGGTGGCGTTGATCTGTAGTCATGACTCTCACTTTTCTTTCCAGTTGGACGTCTTTGAGTCAACCATCTATTTCAACTGTGATGTTCTCTACGTTTGACTTGGCGAGTGGTCTTCTGTAGAAATTTCCCCGTTTCTCTGGCAAATAGTTGAAGTTAGTCTCGTACAGGTTGACAACACATCTCGGGTTGGTGTTGTCGGCATGCTGTTTGATGGACTTCACACCTCAGGTCCAGTCCCTCCTGGACATCCTTGCTAATCCTTCCTGCATACTACATGTACTTCCCACAGACGTCGCACCCGAACTTGTACTGTTCCACTTGAAGCCTTCGTTGCTCGTCCATGCCCCTCAATACAAAGATTTTTCAGTTATAGAATAACACCGTGTGAAAGCCCTGTATATGACTTGGTGGAGATTGCACGCCTGCATGTGTAACGTGTGTCTTGCCAGGTAGCAATGATCGATGGCAGGTACTTCAAGTTCTGAAGAATATCATCATATAACCAGCTAAATGACTTTGACCAATCAGTCCCCATTACATACATGTATCGTCCCAAGGCAAAAGGCAAAACAACTTGACCAAGTTCATCAGGGAGAACGACCTTTCACATTCTGCAGTGTGGATTGGAATGGCTAGGACCAACCGTAGAATGGTGATGTGTTGGAAATTCTTCCTTCTGTTCCCTAGCTAGAACTGACATCCAGAAGGTGCTGAAAGCTGGTAGTTTACTCATAGGAGCCTTCGGAACGATTTTAAAATTGCATTCATGTGTTCATGTCTGAGGTGAAGGGGTATGTTGCGACCTTTCCCGTCCTTACTGTTCCAAACCAAATAACGCGCTAGTCTGGGAGCCAGAAGAGCGTTTAGTCTCACAAGGAAAAACGAACTTGGTGTGGTATTACTATTAGTAGTTCTATATGTATGTAGTGTATATGTATAATATAGTCATGCACCCTCTAGCGATTAACTTCAAGCTAGCAAGTACTGGACAGCCATTGATGATGTGTTAAAATAGTACCCCCTGGCGGTGTATTACAAAAAATGGCTGTGGGTGTGATCATTGGCCAGATGTCCAGGTCCCTGTGGCAGCACATCTTCCTCAGTCACATCTTCCTCAGTCACATCTTCCTCAGGCATGTCTTCAATCTCCTGAGGCAGGTACACATCCTGAGGCTCCTTCCGTTCCTGGTATTCACCATCCTAATGATTGGTAGGAAGAGAATGAAGATTTTGGTGGTTGATAATCAGTGCTGATCATGGTCCTCAGCTTTTCAATGTTTCAGTAAAGATCCTTCTTCAGGTAAGAACCTGCCAGTATATATTTTACCAAGTAAATTCTAGTGGTCATTTTTATGCTACCATGTTAGGTGAAGAAATAGCAACACACATGTACCTGTATGTAACAAGTACTGTACATGAGGGGTAATCTTATTACAAAATGAAGGTAACTTACCATCAGCTGTAACAGCTCGTTTGCAGATTCGTCCATGACTGCTTGGCGGTGACTGTCCATGTTCTCCCTGTAATGTTACCAGTCCAGATTATTGTATTGCTCTGGATGTATAGTTTTGAAGGCAAGGCAGGAGACCCCTATCATATGAAAACATATTGTTAACAAAAAGTGGTGTTTCCAAAACCCCTATCATTCTAAATGTATACAATGTTTCAGTGCAGCCACTGTCAAATACTCACCAGAGTTTCTAGCACGAGCGACCACATTACTGTTGTGGGGGTGAGAGAAAAAAAAAACAATTTCTTCCCGGTTTCTTCCCTTCTTGTCCAGTGATTCTTAAAGCTACGCGTAATTAATTTTCATTCCAAAAAGCCTTTTGTGGCAGCGGCAAGCTGCTCCATCTTCTCGGTATTGTTACCCTGTAAATGCAATGACCGATATTGATTTTTCTTTTGTCTGCCTACCCCGTACTCGTCATGGAGCTTCCTGGCAAAGTATGGGATGGCTTTTGACACCGTCCATACAGTCAGGTTTCCGCTCCCGTGCAGGAATAGGCAAAACAGGTTATAGTATTGGTCAAGACACTGCTGAAGGTCATTCAGGTCTGCCTCGTTAGTCTCGTGCTTGTTAAACAGGGCTCCTGCATCCCGCAGGAGTTGGGCCAGCTAACCCAAAACATGGCGTTTCACTTTACTTACCTCGTCTTCGTTGGGGTTTTCCAATGCATCAACAAGGCGATATTACTTCTCCAGGCGGATGGCATTCTCCCCAATGAAGCGTACATTGTTCAGCTTTGTATGGCGTGTTGACTTGCTTGCATCGTGCTCCAACACCCTGTCTGCAATATACTTCATGTTGAGGCCAACAAGAGAGGGATATTGACCTCGGGCTTCCCGGGCTTCCTTCGCCTTGGCTTCAGATGACACCATCTTACTGTACATGTTGTCACTCTGTACAGTGATGTCATCATTAAGTCGAACCCTGTCTCCTGCGGCTTCATGAGATGGAATGACTGGATACCTACCCTGATACTTACCTTGGGCAGGCTCATTCCTCACCTGCACATTAGGCAAGGAAATGGGCGCTGGTAACACATCGGTGTCGCGTCGCGTTTCACAGCCTCGTGATACATGACATGAAATAGTTGATGCCATGCATTAGTCTCTGTATGAAGTAGCTGCCGCATCCGAAGTTGTGCTCTGCCATAAAGGCATTCCTCCTGTCACGTCGAGAAGACTCTGACAGGCAAGAGGGCAGTGAGTTCATGTACTCCTCCAGCTTGAGCAGGTCAGCCTCACGCTGCTCCATGGTCCAGGGCATCCAGGTCTGACCGATCTTGCCACCCACAATGAATGTTGTGCTTCGTGACATTTGCCCAAGGTGAGGGACAAGTGGCAGCACCTGTGGTTTTGCCGAGTGCAGTGGCAGCCCACGACTCGTCTCCACCAGCCCTGAACTCAAACGTGCATACATTACCTGCAATGGTGTAGGGCTTGGCCTCCAGCAAACCCATCTGGTAAGTGTGCTCTTTCCAGAGGTCTGCCAGCACTGGAGCTTTCTCTGACTCACTTACCGTGTGTAGCAGGAAGTGGTTCTCCCTGCTCCTTGCCTCCCGGCCGAAGTTCCAGCATGTCAGTGTCCCCACTGAGACGCTTGAGTCCCGAGTCTCAGGGGTGCCGTCATCGGCAAAGATAAAATGGTTCTGCCTACCTTTAAACCACCGCAGTCTGGACCGTAGATGCTTCAGCCTGTTCCACAATCATGTGAACCAGTGACACTAGAGGCCGAGTTGCACCTACATGTCCAGGAACTGGGTGGATGTGACCGATGTCCATGTTGTTGATGGCCTTCTGGAGTTTTGAATTCGATACTAACCTGGTCTGTCGGAAGCTGATTCCATCGATGTATGTGTTGCGGGGGAGGTACACCTTCTTTGTTGGGTCGTAGACTGAAGACAGAGTTTTACAATGAAATTGATACTTACGTCGGCTGAGGTCCCCGCTGAACTTGGTGGCCAGAGATCATGAGTTGGTCAATTTGATCAAGCGCCACCGTGACCCCAAAGGCAGCTACCACACCCCCATCGCTGCCTCCATTGATTCGCTCCAAGCACTCCCTGGACAGATTCCTTCTCCTGTACCAGGTATCCGTCTGGCCAGCCATCATGCCAAGTGTCGTTGGGTTCTGATCCAGCTTGGTCTTGGAATGACCCTTCTGGTCCAAAACCTTCCTTACCTTCTCGTCCCAACCCTCCAGTTCCTTCTCCCATGTAGTAAGTCTCTCCTTCTCCTGCCTCAGCTTCTCCTCTTCCCCACTTACCTTTTCAAGTCGACGCACTAGGTCGACTTGTGCTGCTTGCCAGGCTGCAGCCTCCTGTTTGAGTCTCTCCGCCTCTGTGCGCCAGCTAGCTGCATCCTGCTGGAGTCTACAAACTTCAAACTCTAACTCCTGCTTCTTTTTATAAAGCTCTAAGACCTCACCTTGTCTTTTCTCCTGAACACGCGGCCTATACTCATCAATGGGAACTGTGTCTTGACCCGGATTCTCACAGCACACACTCCTGAATAGATGATATGAGAACACATTACACAAAATCTGTCAACTTGAGCACATAATGAATGACGAAACATATAATACATTCCTATTTTTCTTGCAATACTTGTACGATAAATGATTGGCTTAACAAATTCATGCATGTTACATCTGTATTGTCAGAGAATGTGCTAACAGTGCCCGTGCCCTGATTATCATATAAGGGAATATGTCTCATTTTCAGACATTAGTTGATCAAAAACCAGAACTGGGCTTTGAGCTTGAGAAAAGAAAAAGCAGACGACATCTACCTGTCGACAAAAATGACCTAGATTTTGCAGACAATGCACCACTAGCTTAACGAGCACTACTAACGCTACTTAGATAACACTAAGTTGATGCCTATCTCCCACTCATGAAGTTCTGGAATGACTGTTCCAAATCTTCCTGAGTGATGATCGATGACAGTGCATCCCTCAATGTCATCAGGGAAGCAGCGTGTGTACATGTTCCTCATTGCTCCTATGACAACCTGACGGGCCAGTCTGCCATTCATTTCCGATCTCTGTTCTTTCGTAGATTTGTCCTCTATTGTGGTTTCCAGGTCCTGGTTTGCCTCGGGGGTTCAACGCAGGCCTTTGTTGTCCACTTCCTTTCTCATGATGTTGGCCAGTTCCTCAACACTGAAGTCAGGGAAAGGGAAAGTGTAGGCTATCCTTGACTTCATTCCTGGATTAACAGCCAGGAATGAAGCCATTTCCGCGGGATAGCCTGCGAAAATCATGATGGGATCACCATCCTCCATGACACTCATGATCTCCTCGAGGGCTGCCCGGCCAACGTCCCTGGATGACGAGTCTGTCTGCGCTAGCCGGTAGGCCTCGTCCACAAGCATGACCCCTCCCTTGCTCTGGTTAATCTTCCTTCGTGTCATTTCGGTGGTCTGACCGATATACTTGCTCACCAGGTCCCCCCGTTGGACCACAACAGGTTCTGTCTTCTTGGTTATCCCCAGATTGTAGAGGAAACCTGTAGTTGAGAGAAGAAAAAGTGGAAATAAGGAGATGATCTTGAGTAATTAACTCACCAGGTAATATACAGAATCGCATTCCAAGGGTCTTCTTGTCAAGAAACATTCATTGCATGCTTTAGCTGCTGTGTCAAATTACGTAAAAACACTGTTCATATTTTGGTAACCTAGAATTTTCAAAACAGATATAGATACACCGAATTGTGAATACTAAAACTTTTATTTTGGGTGCAATTGGGATGTACCCCTGGTCTGTTGTAGTGCCTTCAAATACCAGTCGTTGTTGTCCCTGAGGCAAGCCAGTCGTTCTCCCTGGCAGACATCCTCCATATTATTCATTTGGTTTCTAACTATGCCTGGTAGTGCTATCTGGAAGAAAAGTACTTTTGAAAAGTGGCAATACATCTCACACTGTCACCTTCTGCGTCATACACCTTTATCTGGATATGCGGAAGAATAAGCTCTTTCTTCTTCAGTTTTGCTACACACATCTGCCACTTGTTGAGCATGTATTGCTGTTCTTTGAAGCTGATGATTCTGTAGTGAAGTAAGGGCGGTGACAGCTTGAAATCGTCTCATCCTGGAGAGTGTTGAGGGTGTCTGGTGGAGGAAGGAAGAATGTGGAATAGAGTTATTGGATGGACCTCTTGAAGACGATTCGTCTTCAAGAGGTCCATCCAAGAACTCTATTCCACTTTCTGCCCTCCTCCACCAGACACCCTCACCACTCTCCAGGAAGTCCGCCAGTCTTTCAAGATGAGGTTGGAAGTGACAGCTGAGGTTCTTCCTTGTAAGCATATACCAGGGAATAAGGGTGTTTGCTTCAGGTAGCATGGTTCGCAGGTGTCGCCCCAAGCTGCTGACTTCACTCTCAGCTCTTGACTGAGTTCTAGCAGTTAGACCAGGCGTTTCTACTATGCCCTGAACATTAACCTGGTCATCTGTGCATTTAGCCTACGGGCATGAACATGAAATAAAGATTGTTATTTACCCCAACCCCCCTCCTCCCAACCCCTATTTTTTTTATTTTTTTGCTTTTGCTGGCAGTTAGACTGGCATTTCTACTATGCCCTGGACATTTATTATAGTATTGAAAAGGGTGTTGTGATCCAGCCATCTGCTACCCTGCAAGCTAGACTCTCCCAACATACACTTGCCCCACAGAAAAGTTGTTGTCATTTTTATGAATATCTTGAAGCAGACCATTCAGAGTAGCTACATCCATGTTGTCAAGTGAAAGATTGGCTGCACTTAACATGTGACAGCACCATGTGGCTTCTTGACACATTTACAATGTACTTATGTCATGTCCTGACTTAATATCTACCTATCAACAAACATAGGCCAATACATGTACATTTGTAGTGCTTTACAAAAGAGAGGCTGTATTATAATAGATAGAAATGTTTAACATTCTCTATATCAATCTACCATTCTGTTAATATCTGCTGAATCATAGTTCTTGGAATAGACAAGTTTTGATTGCTGTTATTTTTGCCATACATTGTGCCATGTACCATCTATCTTGTAATTGATTGTTGATTTATTCATCCTTTTTTGTAATAGTACTATGCAATGCATGTATTTTTCTTTTTCAGACTGTTACATCAGTGTGATATTAGTTGCTGTGTGTAAGGAGGCTTGGAAGAATATACATGCAGTTGCTATCAATGAGTATGAAATGTACCTAATATTCCATTGCAACTGAGTTTATTGTATTAAAGTCCCATATTTGGAAGTCATTAAGATTCTGTGTTTATGTCTACTGTCATGACTAACCAGGAGCTCTGTTCCAAGTAGTCTAGCCTACTAGTAGTAGTAGATGGGAAGCAGATTGATTTTTTTCTACAAATGATTATTGTCTCCTATACAGCTCAGCTATGTATTGTGGAATGTATTTTAGATTCATGTGTGGTGCCAGGGTGATATGACCTACATTGTATTGTGATGTTAGTACATTTAACATTGTATTTCAACCGTCTGGAACTTCAACAATTGAACAATCAAGACCAGAAACCCTTTTTTTCAACAAAAATAATCAGACTGCTTTTATTGAACAGCAATGCATAGTGTAACAATAGCTGTTGTAGGGAAGAAACAGATGTGGCATGGAAATGAATGTTTTAAATCTAGCAAAACAATTTTACTCTGCAAATTCAAGGTAGATAATCTGCAATTGTATATTATCTTGCTACCACTTTCAAGGGAGTTTACTTCCTGCAGGAGACCTTCCCTATCAAAGCTTATGCTTTGCCAGTGTGGTGCATGTCGTTTCTGTTTTCTTTCCCCAGCTTTCTCGAGACTGCTTCTGGCTGCCGCCCGTCTGTTTGCGTGGTTTCGCGACTCGAAGTATTGATTCATGCGCTTTTCTCTTTGCGTTTGGTATAAGACTCCCGGGTTGAGAGAAAGTTTAATGCCTCATTCTCTGCCCAGTTCTTTTCCAGTGACTTTGTGCACTCACGCAATACGTTGCGTTTTTCCCTTTGCTTTTCGGCTCTACTCTTCTTACGTTCAAGGTTGGCTTCAGGTAGCTTTTCCAACACCTCTGGAAACGAGACATTGTAAGATCTTTCAAACTTTTCGTTTACTACCTTCAAGACTCCTGGCCGCACACCGAGCACTTCTGTAACCGCTTACGTTGAAGCTAGCCTCTGATATTGAACTTTTGTTGGCGGCCTCAACTTTAGGATTCGCAGACTTGTTTTTACCCTTCAAACATTGCTTGCACTGTCTGAAGCTGTGCAAACGTTGTTCTGACTCAGGTAAAGACTTCCAGTTCTCGATTGAAAAATGTCCGGTATACCTTTGGCGTTTGGCCGAGGTCCACTTCTGTAGTTCCTGCCTGACTTGTAGCCCGATCTTCTGGAATCTCTTGATGTCAATTTGGAAGTTCCTTCCAAGAACGCCAACGAAAACGGAATGCTTGTCTGCGAAAGATTTAACACTTCTATCGCCAAAGACGCTGTTTAAAATTACACATGTTGGTAAGTCTTAGGAAGACGAAGGTCAAAGTCAAATATGGGTCTCTTGGTGGATGACCTTGGTACTGCAGCAGAACTTGCAGCTGGTATCTGCCACCGTACAACATACACCGGGGTACCCCACGGGCGGCATTAATTACATGACCCGGGACCACTGGATGTTTAACAGCTGTATTTGAAAGAAAGGAAATAATTGAAGGTTTTTCACTCATGTACACTATAAGATGCAAATTATACATATTAACACCCTATTTTATGGAGGTTTGGGATCTAGGAACTCTTGTTTGTGCTTGAAGTTTGATTAAAAGATGACATGTTGGCTTTCAGATGGAAGGTGATGACACATTTATATCAAGAAAAGTCAATACCTTGCTTTCCTGGTCCTTTTTTCATACCGTCTGTTTTTCAGAACGATCTTAAGCTCTTCTCGAACACGCCCAAACGGTAAATGGGGAAGGTTTTCAACACCTGGCAATGATGACGTAAGGGTTACTTAATCATGGATGATTTAGATGGAATTTTTAGTCAATTAGCGATGGTGTTAATTATTGCTGTGTTGTTGACACAATTATACAAATGCAAATTGTTTGAAGACAAATGGAAATTTTATTGGCAAGCAAATCAGCCAACTGCCAGCCTACCGTGACGTCATATGGCTATCGCTCGTATATATAAAGGCACGTTAAGCAGGCAGAATTGTGTACCATATCAACCGCCTTGTGGAGATGGCGGTGTCCGGAGTCCTCAACACCATATCTATCCAATGCAGCGCGTACTTCCGTCTGAAAAATGGGTAAGTGCAATGCCATTTATTTTTGTTGGCCCTTGTACCTTACAAGCATGATTGAGTTGTATAAAATACCTTCCACTGACTTAATTGTCGTTTTTCCAACGAATGTGGACTATTTAAAGCAACTAAATACCTACTTCACATGACAAACTCACCACAAATGACTTCCTCTCGGCGGTCATTTTCCCCCGGCGGCGCACAAGCTCAGGTGGGATGTTCCCGCCGGCATGGCGCTGCTGCTGGTGGAGGGTGTAGAGTTGGACATGTTCACGGTACTCGGCGTGTGTGTGTCGTACACTAGTGACCAGGGCGCATGGGGGGTTACGCATGAAGCACGTTATCATCTTGCTTTTGGCAGGGTTCAGTTGCATGTAGTTGGTTTCTGTTCACTGTACACTGAGACCTTAATTATGGTATTGATCGCAATTGCACTATGTAGTGGTATGAATTATTTTGTGCAGAGTACAATTGCAAATTGCAGGTAAACATGTGATATTCCTACAGTGTGGTTACCTCAAGTAAACATTGATTTGAGCCATGCAATTTACATAACAAAATTAACATGATTCACTTCATAGGTAAACTTACCGATTTTCTCCATTGTTTCACCTCGACACCGCACATCTGCTGAATCCGGGTCATGTGAATTCCCATGCGGTTTGTCCCCTGGGTATGTGCCTGCAATACAACATGATGATTTAGCCTGATAGTGATGGCCATTGATATGACACCATGAACCATGTTGATAGATTCACTTTGCATGGTGTAGTCGGTTATTCAACACTCTAACTTTGTATCTAAATTGAGCAAATACTAATGACTAGTCTGTGCAAGTTTTTGCATGGTGTTGTATGTAATGTTAACATTTTCGCCACTTTCCAGGATCTGTAGTTTTAAATTATGATCACTGATGTCACAAGGGTTTTGGTTGAGATATTTTTCCAAAGTGTCAGCAAAGCAGGTGAGCGAAATCTTTGTGTCTTTGGTTTCTAGTAGTAGTTTGATGGAGATATCCTTCTGAGACCTCTTTGATAACTGTGACATATTACAGTTGTTTCACGTTATGATTGTTTCAGAGGAGTCAGGAAGCTTTTTTCTGAAGTTGTTGCATCTTAGATAACGTGATGTTATCTCTAAGGAGACAATGTCACCTGTTACCTGCTCTCTGTCCACCTCTGGTGTTGGTTCGTCTGGAATTGGCAGGTCTGGAATTTGTTCATATGTTGTCTCCGGTGTTGTTGACAGATACTTTCGTCCATTGTATGTTTTAACTCGAAGTTTGATGATGTAGGAATGTCCTTTCTCCAGAGGGAATTTGTCGGGTTCCCATAGTACAAATCTGATCGAGCCTGTTTCATCCGATGCTTTGCATTCTTTTTTTTTTGCAACTTCTTCGATCCTTTGTTTATTGTTTCTGCGTTGTCGATTGAAGTGATTTTAGTTGGACTGAGACTTCTTGGTTATTTTCTGTTTTCTGAATCGGATGTCGTTGATTTTGGACAGTGTTGTCACAAGTGGAGGTGGTATGTCAAAGGTGAGGTCTGTGAACACAAAATCAGTTGTTGGGTTGGTTGATGTCCTGTATTTTGTTTTCTTGCAAGGCGATCTTGCGTTTTCGGTTTGAGAAATCTGCTTCCTTATTTTGGGCGGTGAAGCAGATGTCTTTGGTTATCATTTCTTCACCTTGTTGCTCAAATCGGAAGAATTTTGACCCAGTGTTTCCTACTTAGATTGGTGAGACACTCTTGATATAACCGTGTAGAGGAGGTGGATCATTTCCTGCCATCTGGATATTAGTGGAGGAGAGACATTGAGTCCTGGGGGATGAGTAATAAGAAATGAGATAAATATTGGTGTATTATATGTCAAGTTTAGTCAAAGTTTATTGCACAACATTCGTAACGGGTACAAAGTATGGCAAGTTCTTCAGATATACAGACATTGAACTGAGTCTACTCTAATGTCTACAGTCATTCATGTAAATTAGGTCTATTCTATTTTTATGAGTAAGTGGTTTTGAGAAAGTAGGTATTTTGGGTATATAGGTTTGCATTTGTGGAGGTTGATATTAATTATAATGAAGTAAAATTTGTTAGTGAAAGGCACTAAAATGGTGCTGATTCCATTTTTAATTAATTGTTAGTGATGCAAATTATTAAATCAGATACTCGATTGGGGTGAAATTGATAGGTGATATGTTGTATTTCTTAGCATGGATGTTAGAAATAGTTTTAGTTTTTGTTTGTATAGATCTATTGAATTTTGAAGGGAGGAGATGTGGGGAAACGTGATAGGGTGACGAGATGTTGGCTGTTTAGAGAATTGGTCTTTGGTGAAATGTTGAGTTGAATATCTAGGAGATAAGTTTAGAGATTATCAAATGTTGGGGGAATGGCTGCGTTATAGTGTCTGAGTGATGATATTTTTGGTTTGTTGTTTTTTGTTCGTTTGGGTGTTTTAGATAATAATTGATGAAAATGAGAAGTCAGAACAGTATTTTACAGTTATAAGGGTTGGGAGAATTATGAATTTGGTCATTACTGATGTATGCTGAAAAATTGCAATTTGAATGTTGTGAAGTAGTTTGGTTGTTGGGAGAATAGGGAGATTGATCATGATCGAAAGTTTTTAATAAGTGGATATCATTATTTGGTGTTCAGAGAATACTTTGGGGCATTTTCTGTATACATGTACAAAGGCATCGATCTGTCAGACTTGTGACTGTGAAAGTTATTTGCAAAAGTTTTTATCCGTTTAGGTATATGTTTCAAAATTAACCTGTTCTGTATTCTTACCATTAGAAGTATGCATGATGTACAAAAAAGTCATGTATGTAAACAAAATGACCACCATGTAAACCAATGTGCCTCTATAGACGTTTCTGTTTCTGAAAGACTTGCTTTTCTGAGAGTGCAAACAGAAGAGGGTGTACATGTAGGAAACGAATTGGTACTTTCACTTTATTCTGTGTCTTATCATTCAAGAAAAATGAATGCACAAAGCTTTCAATACTTTGGAAGATTCAGACCCAAAACTTTTACAACAAATTCTGTTCTGTACAATACCTTCATGGAGGTAGCAGTGTATTAGAAAAAAAGCGTACTGTTTGTTGACACATTCATTCAATGGTAAAGATTTGTATATTACCTTATAATACTGAATAAGTATTTATCACAAAGTAATCCACTTCCAGTATCTATTTGGAGCACCTGTTGCAAATATAACTTTAGTGTTTTCAAATTTTTGTTTAAATGGATGTTCCTAACAGAGGACATGATGAGTACTATACTTTTGTAACATTAAACAAACATGGGAACATGTTAACGTTTGAGGCAGGTATAAAGATAACTACATTAAGTCAATCCCAACCAGAAAATCCAAAACAAAACTAAACAAGGCAATGTCTAACTCCAAATGAAAGTGATTCAACTTCCTGGGTTTTACTTGGAAACTAGCATGACTTTCAGTGAATTGACCACATATATTACAACAAAGTCATCAAATTGGTCAACAAAACAAGAAGCGAACAACTTAATTTCAAGTCTTTAGTCACTTCAAGTTTTTATATTATAATATGGTTGATGTGTCTTATGTTGCAAATGATGGTACATGTATCCTCCCTAGAGTCATTGACCATTTTGTTCTGGGTGACGATACTTCACATGCTTGTTCAGAGAGTGGTCATCCTTGTAACGTTTTTTGCAGATGGTACACAGTACTCCTGTGTGTGTCAGCATGTGTTCACCAAGCTGCCGATCATTTTTATAAGATTTCTTGCGTACATTCCCTGTGATCTGTGTGTGTTGATGTGTGTCTTGCTAGGTTCCATTTTGATTTGAATACTTTTGAACACTGATGACATTTGTTGCTGGAAGATGTTGGCAGGGCCATCAAGGTGACGTGGTCACCCCACTCTCCACTTCCTGCCATCCTTCTTAGGTAATCCTCCCAGCCTCCAGTGACAAACCCCGCCAGGTCTACTCTGGAACCAGGCTATAGTAATGATAAAATGTTGCACATTGAAATTAAGGTATATTTAGAATGGCTTCTGTCCTTCAATGTCGCTTTATTGCTTCCCTATAGTCTATTACTTAAGTCCTCCAGAATCACTTAAATCATAGAATGAATTTGCCCATCACCTATGCTTTTCACATACTACATATACATGTTGCAGTTCTCAAGAAAGTGTTTTATGAGCTTTGTTTCCCCTCAATTATATAAGCACATATATATGATAAAATTGCATCCCATCACGTTTTCTTACTACATTTCATTTAATATAAACCAAGATTAAAGTAGTTGTTGAAAAATGGGTCCTTACCAACACACGATTGTCTCTTAGGTACGCCACAGTCATCTCTCCCACATGTTTGGCTGTCAAGCTTCCCTTGACCTTGCCCAGACGCTTCAGCTGGTCGGCAGATGCCGCCAACATGCAGTTGTCATCCTTCTTCATACCATTCCTAACAAACAGTAAAAATGCTCCCGGCGGAGGTTTGTGTTCAGCTTGTTTAGGTGGCTGTCATGGTTTCCTTTACACAGGCTATTATCCTAATTGAAATAAAATAAGTACAAAATTTAAGAATTCTAATAGAAATAAAATTAAAATAAGTAGTGACTTTGGAAAAATTCGTAAACTGAATTCAGTAAGGTAGCTGGAACTAAATTTAATCTAAAACCCAGGCTATATAGATAGGTGTGTGGGAGAAAAATAAAAAGAGAAGCTTAGATTTACCAATATCGTGCATGATATAATATAGTATCTGTACTGGTTAAGGGAAGTCTGTTTCTTGTGGTAGCGGTGGTCTTCGCCTTCTTGTTGATACGGCTGTTGACCCTCGTCTTGAAGGCTTGTTGGCGTTCCTTCAAGGGCCGCAAGGTGTTCTGACATCAGAGGGGAAGAAACGTAAGAACACACTATTGGGTAAAATGGCAACATGCCAATCTAATGTCAACTGAGTCTATGTTGTATACAGATATTTAAGGGTTGTTTTGGCTCACCCGTTATTGCTTGAATCCTGTCGGAGTCCAGCACCCCGTACCCTCGCCAAGCGTCGTCATAGACTATGTTCTGTCTGAGCTCATCAACACTGAAGGCCTGAACAGTGATATTGTGTTGCATGTGGGCTACCCTGAAGGCAGACTCCAAGGATCGGTAGCTGTTCCCAGTCTTCAGGAAGCGTAGAGTAATGGCGAGTTTCAGGCATGATGACAAGGGCTGTCTGGCACTGGATAGAATTAAACAAAAGTGTTACATACAGACTGGACTGTAATATCTAAATTTACTGTTATTCTAAATCATTAACATTGAAATGTGTCAAGAAGTAGAAGGCATTCGCAAGAA